AGTACCCCTTGCGGTTTATGTAGTCGGTGGCTTGGTGCGCCGGTGCCAAGATAGGGATATGGGTTCCGTCTATCGCCCCACCACAGTTTGGGAATCCCATTGCAGCAAAGCCATCCACTATGGTCTGCACGTTTCCCAGAGTCACTACCCTTGATATCACCAGGTCTCTCATTGCCCTGGCAACTTGGATCACAGCAGCCCCCACAGTAGATTTGCCCACTCCAAATTGATTCCCGACTGACCGGTAGCTGTCTGGCGTTGCAAGCTTCCACAGGGCTATCGCCACTCGCTTCTCCACTGTGAGGGCTGCTCTCATCCTGGTATTCTGGCGCTTCAGGGCAGGGGAAAGCAAGTCACAAAGTTCCATGAAAGTGCCCTTACGCATGCGAAAGTTTCGCAGCCACTGGGCATCGTCCCAGACCTGCAACACGATGCGGTCCCACCACTCTGTGCTTGTTTCCCGGGCCCAGAATCGGCGGTCCACGGCATGAACCTGCCCCAGTAACACCAAGATTTCCACATTGCTGGGGCCTGTGCCTTGTGAGAGGTCCATGTCAATTTCCTCATCACTATCGTCGCCGCGCTGCAATCGCCTCCTCCTCAGCTGGTCCTGGTTTGGCTTTGGCATGTCCAGGAGGCTCTGCATGTTTTCCAGGACAATGCGCGTGGTGTTCATAGTGCTCAGAATTGCCGCGGTGATCTGAGCGGGCTCCATGATCCCAGTGCTGGCTATGGCGTCTGGTCTGAAAAAAAGCGCGAAAGTAGTATCTGACGGACCAGGGGAAGAAGGGAGGGAGGGAGAGAGGGAGGGAGGGGCGAGTGACACCGCGTACAGGTACAGGGAATTAAAATCAAGAAAGGTGGGTTTGCATCAGGGAGAAACACAAACAACTGTCACACAGAATGCCCCCCCCCCCCCAAAGATTGAACTCAAAAGCCTGGGTTTAGCAGGAGGGAGGGGGGAAGCAAATGAATGGAGAATAAATCTATTTTTTACATCTTAAGACGACGGTGCAGCATGACTGATAGCCCTTGGCATTTTCTGGGTGCTTGGCAGCAAATACTGGGCGCTTGGCAGTAAGCCTTCAGGTCTATTGCACGATCTGATGCCCACTGCAGTATGACAACGATGGATACCAGTCGTAATATACTATCTTCTGCCCAAAAGGCAAGGGGTTGCTGCTGTATAGCAATGTTGCCCCATCCTGCGAATAATACATCTGATAACCATCATCATCAAGGCAAGGGGGCTGGTGCAATGCAGCCCCACGGCTGCCAGCCCCATGTCTGCCAGCACCCAGATAGCCCTCGGCCTCTTCTGGGTGCTTAGCAGACAATATTGGGCACTTGGCAGAAAATAGCATACTACGACTGATAACCATCATTGTCTGCCCGGGTGCCCATGATCGACAGCCACTGCAGTACGATGACGACGGTTACCAGTTGTAATATACCATCTTCTACCAAAAGGCAAGGGGCTGGTGCAATGCAGCCCTACGGCTGCCAGCCCCACAGCTGCCAGCACCCAGATCGCCAATGAAGGCTACCAGTCATGCTGCACCGTCTACCGCCAAAAGGCAGTAAGCTGCTGCTGCTGTTTAGCAATGCAGTCCCACGTTTGCCGGCACCCGGAAGAGATATGGTGACGGTGAGCTGAGCTGAGCGGGCTCAATGCTTGGCGTGGTATGTTGTCTGCACAGGTAACCCAGGTAAAAAGGCGCGAATCTATTGTCTGCCGTTGCTGTGACGGCGGGGGAGGGGCCTGACGCAATGTACCCAGAACCCCTCGCGGCACTGCTTTGCATCATCCGGGCATTGCGATCTCAACCCATAATTCCAATGGGCGCCGGAGGCTCCGGGAACTGTGGGATAGGTACCATAGTGCAATGCGCCGGAAGTCGACGCTAGCCTCGGTACTGTGGACGCGGTCCGCCGACTTCATGCACTTAGAGCATTTTAGGTGGGGACACACACAATCGGCTGCATACAACCGGTTTCTATAAAACCGGCTTCTATAAATCCGACCTAATTCTGTAGTGTAGACATAGCCTAGGATTCTACAGAGGAGCTAATTAACCACCAGGGACAGACGGACTCCTGTTTGTTTACCACAGGCAGCAGGGCCCCGATTCTCGTTTGCACACAGACCGCTGGTGCCGAGGGGCCTTAGAGCCGTTGCTGCTGAAACTCACCAGGCCCTGCCCCGAAGAGCTGACAGAGAGGGCGAGCACCACAGGAGAAGCGAGAGGTCCCTGTGTGGTGGCTCAGCAAATAGGGAGCTGCAGTGGAAAAGATTCGGCGGCTGCAGTTTGACACATTCAAGGTTTTTTTGAATCAGGGAGTGAATATTTTGTGGTGAGGAAAGTGACTCACCCTGGCTGTGGTTTCTAAGTAGCGTTTCCTGGTTGGGAGGATTTAAATTCAGCATGGGGAAAAAAGATCAGGAGCAGATTCTCTCCCCGCACCCCTTTGGAAACTCAGGCTGGAAGGTCTGAAAAGTTTCAATCTTTGGGAGCTCCTCTGGAATTTCTGGGCTCCGCTCCCACTATGAATCTGACCAGGTGTGCTGTGAAACAGACAGGGGGGATGACAGCTGAGCTTGGGGGTGCCTGTGTCAACTGGGGGTGGGGGCTGTGAAACACAAGGAGAATGCCAGGCTCTCAATCTAATATTTTGCAGTGCATTTGCTTCTCTGCTGCTTGGCAAGTGCTGGGCTTTCAAAATAACATATTGTGGTTTAAAACCAGAAGTCAGTTTGAGTGCGGCTTTTTTGTGCGTGGGGTGGTGGTGGTGGTGGTGGACACGGTTTGATACAGCTAGAATTGGGATTATTATTGTTTGTTTGTATTACAGAAGTGCCTAGACACCTCCGCCGAGATCAGGGCCCCACTGTGCCAGGCGCTGCAGGACACAGTGCCCCAGGTGCGGCACAGACAGAGCGAGACACAGTTCCTGCCCTGAAGCGCTCCCAGTTTGCACAGACAAAGGGTTTAGGGAAAGGCAGATTTAAATCTTGATTTAAAAACTGCCGGTGATGGAGAATCCACCCCAGCCCTTGGGTAAATTGTCCCAGTGCTTAATTACCGTCACTGTTAAAAATCTATGCCTCATTTCCAGCCTCAAATTGTCTAGCTTCAATTTGCAGCCACTGGCTTGAACCCAGATGCCCTGGGTCCCAATCCCATGCCACAGCCACAGTGCCTGTCTTCCTCTCCAAGGCATGGGGCTGAAATGCCATGCGGGGGCTCCTTCATGATGCCTAGCGTAACAACGCCTCTCCTTTGTCGTCATCAAGGTGCAAACTGGGAAACTCAGCGTCAATGAGTCCCATCTCCCGAGGGGGCTCCAGTGGTAGCAGTACTAGGCTGTTATCTTCTAGCAGTCTGGAAGGGAATAGGACTCACGCAGTGCTGGCATGCTGAGCTAATTCCTTGGGGTGTTGCAGGAGGAAAGCAGGGTGCTCTGCTGTCCCCAGAGCTCGATTCCCACAAGGTTTAATTCCTCTGCCCAGTCACCAGAGCGGAGGGTGGGTGCTACAGGGAAGAGATGGGTCTGGGAGCTGGGATGGAGCAGCCTGGGTGGTGGATCAGTGGAGTGGCCAGAGCGCCCTGCGCTGCAGTTATTTTCAGCTCTCCAGGGGGAAGGATGGTGTGAATTAGAGCAACCCTGAGGCTGCCCTAATTTACACCTGTGGGTGGGCCAGGGACTGGAATATAAGGAGGTGGTTTAAAGCCCCTCCCTGCCCAGTGTCCCCAGTGCAGGAGGTTAATGAAAAAAATCAGGCCCACAACTTCTAGCTGTGCTCGTTAAAAGGTCACGCTGGACCCGCAGAGTGAGTCACCCTTCCCCAGGGGAGCTGCAGGAGATTTACGCTGCGTCGCCAGTGAAATTCCTTTGGGGGCGGGCAAAGCTCGGACCATGCGGTGCAACCAGCAAGCGCTAGGGCCTGGCGCAAGGACCATGATGTCACGGCTGGGGAGCCGTGGGGTGTGCAGGCCTGGGGGCAGAAACTCTTCCTGAGCCCTGCCCCAACCCCCACCCCTCCCCAAATCCCAGATCTGTCCATATTCACAACTTGGGGACTGGCCAGACAGCCCCAGGCAGGACAGATGGAGTCGCATCCTGAGCCTGACCTGATCTTGCCAGGGCCTCATTTGAACGGTCCAGAGCCTGTTCTTAGCATGTGGCACAACAACTACATCACCCCCTGCCCCCAACCCAGGAGCCAGTGGATGACCTCCTGAGGTCCCTTCCAACCCTGATATTCTATGAAACCCCATCGGATCAGAGGGGAGCAATAACAACCAATGAGGATCAGACTAAATAAATGGAGAAAGACAGAAAAGACAACCCCCTCCCCCACCAAACACACACACCCAGCTGCCCTCTGTGCTAACAGGCAGGTGGTGCTGTAAATGGGGGGCAGGCCCCACTGCCTTGGCCTGCCCAATGCTGGGGTGGGCTCAGGGTGGCAGAGGTAGCCCTGGAGTGTGAGGTGGGGGCTGCAGGGGTAAGCCCCATGGACACACATTGCATGGGGGGGGGGTGTAAGTGGGAGGAGGGAGTGGCCTCCCCGCTCCAGTCTCTAGGCAGATGCAAGGCAGAGGGTGGGGAGACTGGGGAAGGAGGGCTCGGATAGAGCCCTGTTCCCTTGGCTTGGCCGGGGAATCAAGGGCTGTGAACCTCCATCCCCTACCATTGCCGGGCTTGCTGCCTCCAACAGGGCTCCCCCCGGCCACACTGCACCCCCCCTCCCCCGCCCCCCA